TATTGCACTGAGTTCCCACATCAGGAAAACAAAACGAATACAAATAAATAACCTGATGCTACACCTCAAACAGCTAGAAAAAGAAGAGCAAGTCAAGCCCAAAGCCAAAAGAAGAGAGGAAATTATAAAAATCAGAGCAGAAATCAATACAATAGAGACTAAGAAAACAATCCAAAGAATCAACGAAACAAAGAGTTGGTTCTTTGAAAGAATAAATAAAATCGATAAGCCCCTAGCCAACCTTATTTAAAAAAGGGAAGAAAAAGCTCAAATTCATGCAATAGAAATGAAAAAGGTGAAATCACTATAGACTCTACAGAAATACAGAAGATCATCAACACCTATTTTGAAAACTTCTACTCTCAAAGGTTTGATAACACAGAAGAAATAGACAGATTCTTAGAAACATATGAAGTATCAAAGCTAGATCAAGAGGATGTAAAACTGCTGAATAACCCAATCTTTGTTAATGAAATTGAAAATGTAATTAAGTCCTTACCTACAAAGAAGAGCCCAGGCCCAGATAGATTCACTGCAGAATTCTACAAGAAATACAAAGAAGACCTAATGCTGACACTCCTCAAACTACTCAATGAAATTGAAAGGGAAGCAATCCTTCCTAAGTCATTTCTGGAAGCAAATATTACTCCAGTACCAAAACCTGAGAAAGACCCAACTAAAAAAGAGAACTATAGACCGATCTCCCTAATGAACACAGACGCAAAAATCCTCAATAAAATATTGGCAAATAGAATGCAGCAAATCATCAAGAAGATTATACACTATGACCAAGTGGGATTCATCCCAGGAATGCAGGGAAGGCTCAACATACATAAATCAATAAATGTAATCCACCATATCAATAAAGTCAAAAGTAAGAATCACATGATCATTTCTATAGATGCAGAAAAAGCCTTCGATAAGGTCCAACATTCATTCATGATAAGAAGTTTACAGAAAATTGGAATAGATGGTCTTTACCTCAATATAATAAAAGCCATTTATGACAAACCAACAGCCAGCATCATACTAAATGGCCAAAAATTGAAAGCCTTCCACTCCTATTTAATATAGTACTAGAAGTACTAGCCACAGCAATTAGACAAGAGAGAGAAATAAAAGGGGTAAAGATAGGAAAAGAAGAAGTTAAATTATCATTGTTTGCAGATGACATGATACTCTACATAGAAGACCCCCTAAACTCCATTGAAAGACTCTTAGATATAATAAATAAATTCAGTAATGTAGCTGGACACAAAATCAATACTCAGAAATCAATAGCATTCCTATACACTAACAACAAAATCACAGAGAGGGAAATAAGAGAAACCACACTCTTCACACTAGCAAGCAAAAAAATGAAATATTTAGGAATTACTCTTACGAAAGAAGTGAAAGACCTGGGGCTGGGGCTTTAGCTCAGCGGCATAAGTGTCTGCCTTGCAAGCAGGCAGTTGTGAGTTCGATCCCTGGTACCAATAAAAAAGCAAAAAGACAAAAAAAAAAAAAAAAAGAAGTGAAAGACCTATACAGGGAAAATTATAATACACTTAAAAAAGAAATTGAAGATGATCTCAGAAAATGGAAAGACATCCCTTCCTATCCATATAGGAAGAACAAACATTGTGAAAATGGCCATTCTCCCAAAACTGTTATATAGATTCAATGCAATCCCAATTAAAATACCATCAACATACCTTCTAAAATTTATCTGGAACCAGAAGAGACCTAGAATAGCAAAGGCAATTCTAAGCAGCAAAGGCAAGGCAGGAAGCATCACAATCCCTGACTTGAAGTTATACTACAAAGCAACAGTAGTAAAATCAACATGGTATTGGAATCAAAACAGAGCCGAAGATCAATGGAATAGATTAGAACATACAACCACAACTACAAACACACTCAACCACCTTATCTTTGATAAAGGAGCCAAGCAGGTTCACTGGAACAACGACAGTCTCTTTAATAAATGGTGCTGGAAAAACTGGCTCTCCATTTGCCGAAAACTAAAGCTAGACCCATGCCTATCATCATATACTAAATTAAAATCTAAATGGGTCAAAGATCTGAATATTAAAACAGAAACACTAAATCTATTGGAAGACAAATTGGGTAGAAACCTTGAAGACATAGGGGTAGGTAGAGAATTCATGAACAGGACTCAAACCGCACGGGAAATACTTCCCAGAGTCAATAACTGGGACCATTTCTTATTAAAAGGTTTCTGCATGTCAAAAGAAATCTCCAGCATAGTGAAGAGAAAACCCACAAATTGGGAAAAGATTTTAGTGAACTCTCTCTCAGACAAGGGACTCTTGTCTAAAACATATAAAGCATTTAAAAAACTCAGACCCCCAAAATTCAAAGATCCAATCCAAAAATGGGCATCTGAGATGAATACGCACTTCTCAGATGAAGAAATACAAATGGCAAATAAATACATGGAAAAATGTTCATCATCATTGGTCATTAGAGAAACGCAAATTAAAACCACACTGAGATTACATCTCACTCCTGAAAGAATGGCCAGGATCAAGAAAACCAACAACAACAAATACTGGAGAGGCTGTGGGGAAAAAGGAACTCTCCTACACTGTTGGTGGGAGTGTAGACTGGTACAACCTTTGTGGAGGTCAGTCTGGAGATTTCTCAAAAAGCTGGGATTGGAAGTCCCATTTGTTCCAGCTATTCCACTTCTAGGCATATTCCCAGAAGAACTGAAAGCATCATACCACAGTGATATATGTGCACCTATGTTTATAGCAGCACAATTTGTAATCGCCAGATCTTGGAAACAACCCAAGTGTCCATCAACTGAGGAATGGATAAAAAAGTTGTGGTATTTCTATACAATGGAGTATTACTCACCTATAAAGAAGGATCACATTGAGATATTTATCAATAAATGGGCGCAGCTTGAGACCATACTCATAAGTGAAATAAATCAATCTCGCATGTGTGAATACCAAATAGTTTCTCTAATGTATGTAATGATTTAATAAAAGTATGTGGTAATCATGATTCCCCATTATGTGGCCTTGAAGCCTTATAAAGTTTTCACTTATTAATTGGAATGGCTTTATTCTGGGCTTCTTAATATGGAAATACTTAAAGCTATAGTATATGAAGTTTTATTCAAATATTTCAAGGAAAAAGACAGACACTATGGTAACTACTATTAAGTCACGTTACTTGCTGGTGAAGCACTAGGTTGCTGAAACAGTCATGCTTTGACCTGTATTGTTATGTTGTTATGTCCTCTTTTATCTCAATCTCTCCCTTATTCATTAAAAAAATTATTTAGTTATTTTTTATGGTTTTTTTAATTAAGGGTAAAAATTTAAAAAATTAGCAGGATATATAATAGTAACTTTTTTTGATTTCCTATTAACTTGATTTGAAGTCCTGTAATACTTCCACTATCTTGTTTTGACTGATTAAACTCTGTTCTGTTCTGTATGATAGTATCAAGTTTGAGGGTATAGGCAACTACTTTGAAGGCAATTAAGATTCAGTAAGATACCATTCTGGTTTGACTATTATCTCCTTTGGAAGTCCTGTAATGTTTACATGTTTAAGTTTTATTGGTCTTGTTCTCTACTGTTTTGTTCAACTTTATAATACCCAATGAGATAGACAATTCTTTTTAAGGAAGCAAGAGGCATTATGGTAAACATTGTTGATAACCCTGTACTCTGTTTTTTACATCATGTACTATGTCCATCCTTGGTTTTGACTGACAGCTTTGTTTTGACATATTTGACTTTATTCTCTTCCAAAAAAAAAAGTAGTAAGAACTAAGGAGTAATAAAACCCAAAATGTGTCAATTTTGTTGTAAAAAAGAGAGGGGGAAAAAAAGTGCTCTAAAGGATACAACTGCAAGTGTGTTTAGGGGTGTTAAATAGCTGACCATATTAATGTTTTTAGTTGGATCATTGAACACAACTGTTTGCAGTCTCACTGTTTAATGCCCACTTTGTATGCTTTGATACTGTGACTTGAGCAACTATCTCTAAGATGATAATGTGTAATCTATTAACTGGTGATTTCTTAGTGTTTTTTTTTTGTAGTTCTGTATTACTTGTACCCTTACACCGCTTTGTTTTGTTTTGTTTTTTCTCTTTTTCCTTTTAAATAAAATTTTTTTTAAAAAAAGAATATGTTTCAGCAATATCAAGACCATCATTGAGCTGGGTGTGCTGGCGCATACCTGTAATCCCAGCACCTGGGAGGCTGAGACAGGAGTATTAGTGCAAGTTCGAGGCCAGCTTGGACTACAGAGCCAGATTCTATCTCAAAAATAAACAAACAAATAAAAGGACATCGAATCTGCTGAACATAATGGCCCTGAAATTAGTAGATACTATTTTCTCCTGTATTGATGAAGCTGATGTATGTATGTATACACACATTCATCCTTCCCAGAAGAGAAAACTCTGGATATTTTCATTAAGTTTTAAAGGTTGTGACAAAATTTCTACTTTTCAATAAAATATCTATAAAAGTTAGGATGCCTCATTCAACAAGGTTACTTTATAGTTGGTATACAGCAATTGTTATTTAATAATACAAAAGACTAAGATATACTTGCATTTTCTGATAATGTTTTACTTCTCAGTTACTTCTATTGTTTATTTCTATAACCACACTTTCTCCTAATTGAAAAAGTCTGTATCCTAAAATTTTAAAAAATTCAGTATTATACTTTTTACTAAATCCATCAAGTTAGGTTCCTGATATGCTATCTCAGTATAATCTTAATGCAAACTGAGCTACTGAGACATATTTTGTAGAATCTGAGATGACAGATAAACCTGAAGCCTGGATGGTACGATTCAGATTACCTAACTTTGAAAAAAAATGAAAACACTCATTATTCTTAGAAAGGTAAGGACCTAAGGCAATTTATACACAGTCCCTGTTAAGTTTCTTACGCTTCACTGGGAGGCTTAAACACAAGGCCTGACAGGGAGAGACAACAGGAAACAGTGGCCCTCACCTCCTGGAGGTGGCTTGCTTTTGGAGGTGAGGATGACAAAACCAAATCCTTCAGTTTCTTTTCGCTGCAGGACAACATCATAGGCCTCCTGGGATGCAGGCCTGGTGGGCACCTCTGCTCGGTTCAGGCAGGGAGATCCATTCTGTGTTGAAATGAAGGCTTGAGAGCTGTCATCTTCAGGTTGTTTTTCTATAATAAACGTGATCAATTTTGATATTTTTTGAAAACTGTAACTTTTGGTAAATAACATGTTTTGTGTTAAGCCTCTCAAAGTAAGTTTCTTTTCTAATAACACAAAGAACAGAAAAGCAGCCTCTGCTCCATGAGAGCTTTGGGTACAGTTGTAGGCAGTAGCAGCCCATCTGACTTCTCCATACAGGACCCCAAGAATATAACTGGAAAAATACATATGACCTAACGTTCTCTCACTTGAAAATTTGATATTAAAATATTATTCTTGAAATAGTTTTAGTTCTTTTATGCTTTATAACCTTGTCAATAATTTAAGAAGAGTAAATAATGAAAAATGATCCAATAACCTTCCTTTTAAGATCAACTGTAAATATAATTTAGTTCAGTGACTGATATTTTATTGATGTCTAGGAAGTCAGGGGAACAGGGGAGAGGCACTGCTTCATTGGAACAGTCTACCATCTGAACAGGATCTGTCCTCCACAGCGTGTTTTCTTTCTTTCTTTCTTTTTTTTTTTTTTTTGGTATTAGGAATCGAACTCATGACTTTGCGTTTGCAAGGCAGGCACTTATGCCGCTGAGCTAAATCCCTGGCCCAACAGAGTATATTTTCAATTAAAGCTTCCTGACTGATGAGTTCAGAGTGGTTCGTCATTAGCAGTTCTCAGCCTTGCGTCTTCCCTTGCAGGGACACAGGACGAGCTGTGCACACAAACAACACGCTCTCCTGGGCACAGATAAGGTCAGATGGAATTCCTGGCAAATGAATAGTTAACCCATACCTCTTGCAGTTATTCAAGGAAGACATCACAATTTAAGAATGAGACAAGGACCAAATCAACTTTTTAAAAAGGCTAATTTTGTGTAATAATTTGGTCAGACATTATTAGCAATCCCAATACACAGCAGCTGTGTAACACACTCTGGGCTTAAATTTACATGATCATAAGAATATGTTTCAGAATGCCACTAGCATCGAATCATTATTGAACAATAAAGGGGTCATTTTGCAACAAGGTTAGAATAAAGTAGCTAGAATGTCTCCATTCTTAGTATCAAGGTACTATGAAATTTCATGGTGTTTTTTTCCAGTCCATGATGTTTTTTAAATTTTACTGAATATAGTTACAGACTCCAGTAACTGACACCAACCTGAGACAACACTGCACTCTTGTGTTACACAGTTATCATTGTTGAGAGCCTGTCTGGAGATTCTAGCAGGGGAATGCAGTTATTTGTATACCCTTGACCAAGGAAACAGTCCTAGGGATGCATGCAGAGTGATGGGAAAAGGAGGGGACATCCAACTAGATACAATCCTGGTGATCAATGGATTTACAGTCAGACTGCCCTCACATCCAAGAGTTATCATTTTAAAAATGGGAAAGGTTCACATAAAAATCCTAGTTACTATAAACAAAGCTACAGATGAGAAAACTGTAAGAGATGATTATATCCAGGTGTCATGGTTTACAGTCAGGACTCTGCAATTAAACTATAATTTTAATCCTGTTCCTACTACTTACTGGCTGTGTCTCTCAACCCTACTGTCAGTCACTGTAGAACTAGATGGAGACAATATGTACATCATTGTGTTTTGAGGAATAAACAATACATGCATCTAGGACATAATGAGTACACAACAAATACTATATTAAAACTTTTCAAGGGCTGGGGATTTAGCTCAGCGACATAAGCGTCTGCCTTGCAAGCAGGCAGTCGTGAGTTCGATCCCTGATACCGATAAAAAGGAAAAAGACAAAAAAAAAAAAAAAAAAAAAAAAAACTTTTCAAGCAGAAAAAGTCCATTTTTTGGAATACTTGAGATTTCATCCAGATTCAAAATCTTTTGATATTTAGTTAGTGGGATATCTAAGAATGGCTAAAAAACTACACATGTATGTATATTTCTTGTTTGTTTCTAGTGTTGCAGATAAAACCCAGGGCTTCTTCACATGCATTCTAGGCAAGCACACTACCACTGAGCTACATTCCCAGCCTAGCTTTATTTGTTTAAAAAATTTTTTTAGATTCATCCTCTCACAATACTATATTGGCAAAATTTTATCAATGTATAATATAACTTTAATATAGAGCCCAAAATATTTATTTATTTTTTTTGATAGCAGTATTATTTCTGGATGCCCTTGGTCTTCTGTGGCCTTCCACAGTGGAGTTCTGGGTTATGCCAAATGAGTAATCTGAAACACCAATAAATAATAAAATAACTTGTAAAATCACACAGAAAGGGGGCTATCTCTACCTCCATAGAAGATCTTCCTTCTGACAGTTAATAACACATGGCCATTTCGAGCAGCAGTGGTCATCAGGTCCAAGACTTGTTTGTGTGATTTCCCTTTAACAGGAATTCCATCGATGCACATCAGTTCATCAGCTGCGCGCAGCCGACCATCCTTTTCAGCGGCCCCCAGGGGAATAATGGCCCCAATGTAGATCTGTAAGATAACAATGTGAAGATTGGTCTGTACAGTTTACTAAGATTAGCTGAAGATTTAAGAGCTTCCTGACTCATCACTCTGCAGATCAACAGATTTCTGAGATTCACCTCTGAAAACTGGCACATTTCAGAAAGATGATACCTTAGAAAGTGCCCATGCTCAAAAATGGTACTTCAGATAACCACACTGCATTATGTAATTCTCAGGGTTAAGTATCAAGAAGAAAGTACAGGGGCTGGGGATTTAGCTCAGCAGCAGAAGCACCTGCCTTGCAAGCAGGCGGTCGTGAGTTCGATCCCCGGTACCGATAAAAAGAGAAAAAGAGAAAAAGAAAACAAAAAAAAAAAACAAAAAAAAACAAAAAAAAAAAAAAAAGAAGAAGAAGAAAGTACAATATTTTAAAAGCACCACCATGATCTCCATCACTATACTATAGCAAAAAACAAAACAAAACAAAAACTTGGAGAATGTAATTCTGTGAAGCCACAAGTCTAAAAAAAATTGTTCCATGGCCTCAGATTTTCTACACATAGTTCACAGCCACTGACATCATTTTTATGATTTTACCATCAAATGTGCTATGCTAACAGTACAAGTTTAGTATATGCCAAAGAGAAACAGTTCATGGGAACTCAAGTGTGACCTGAGATTTGCTTACATCTAGTAGAACAGATATGGTTCTTTCTGCTTACCAGAAATTAAAAGCTCATTATCTGGTGATCCTGCTTTCAAAACTACTAATACCTGACATTTAAGAGAAGAAAAAGGCTGCATCAATGTTATCACAATTTCTTAAATGTCTAAATGAACATAAACATATCACCACAGTAGGAAAAAAATATATATATAGTCAAAAACAAAGTACCTTATATTTGCCCTTAGCTATATGGCTAAGCTTTCTATGTCCCTAATGATTATTCCAAGTATAACCAATATGACTAACTAGAACACATTTGTACCATAAAATCAAACAATCTGTTCAAAAACAGAAAGAAGGCTGTCATATTTTTTTCTCCCTTTTAGTGGTACGAAAGGTTGAACCCAGAGCCTCTAGCATTCTAAGCAAGTCTCCACTCAGTATACCACTGAGCATACTCTAGTATTTTTCAGTTTTTGTTTTCAGATATGGTTTTCAAAATTGCCAAATTCGGTTTTTAACTCACTATGCAGCCCCAAGTTGGCCTCAAACTTGCAGTGAGCCTCCTGCTCCAGCCTCTGAGTGCTGGGATTACAGGGGCACAAATCATACTCTGCCTGAATTTATAATCTTCTTGCCTCTGTAGATGATAGGCATGAGCCACAGCCCCTGGCACCTGTCATTTTTAAAGATTACTGTTATTTACCTAACTTCCAAGAATAATAATGTAGTTTTTTCCATATTATACAATGAAAATGTAAGTACATTCTTAAATTCCTACAAAGCACATTACTTGTCACTCAAAAACAAGGAAAAAACTTAAAAGCAAAACTTACTAGAGTAATCTGTTCTCTATCTTTCTGTAGAAATCATACAGAAACAAAATTTCAGGCTTTAAATTATTTGCAGCTAGGTGCACATCTGTAATCCCAGTGCCTGTATTCCCAGACAAAGAGCCCAAGGCCAATCTGGGCATCATAGAGAATTCAAACCCATTTTGGACTGCATAACAAGTCCTCATCTCAAAAAACCAAAGACCTCATAACAAAGTAACCAAACAAAATACAAAGAAAGGAAAAGCTTTGCAAATGTAACTTTTATGCCTTCTAGTTAGAAATATTAATTGTTTTATACTCATTTAGTTTCATAGCTAACACATGAAATGACAGGCAATGGAAAGAGCATGAAAATATCACGTCATTAATAGGATCAGGTGAAATAACATGCACAGGTTATTTCAACAGTCTAGGAGTGTGCAGAAGACAGAGAGAGTGATTATCAAAGGAGGACACTGGGTAATATGCTTCTTAGAGAAGAAAAATATCTTACAAGTCTGTTTAACAAAAGCAAAGGAAAGTAAAAAATCAAAACAGGTTTTTTCCTGGGATTGATCCCAGGGCTCAATCATCTACATTAGGCAAGTGCTCTACCACTGAACTATGCCCTCCAAACCTAAACAGTTTTCCTTCTTTATGTAGAGAAGTAAATAATCACTGTCCAACAGACAGCTGACATATTCAATTTTTATACAGTATTTTAGCCAAGTCACCCGATCTTAACTGAAGGACTATGACATTCACAGAAATGTGGTTCTACCTCATATTAATAAAACTGTGAAAAAAAAATAGGAAATCAGGAAACAAAACAAATTTTTAAAAAATCATTATTAAAAAATTTTAACATGAACAGCACTTACAGATTGGTCAGGTCCATCTCCTCCTAGTACCCTGAAGCCAAATCCTGACTCTTGTTTCCGAAGAAATACATCCAAATCTTTGGTGTTTGGTGCTAAGGAAAACCAGAAAATGTAAAGTAAATATTTTGATTCATTTTAAAAAGATAAAAATAAAATTCCAACACAGTAGGATAATATTAAAGAGCAATTCAATAAATTATAATCTTTTTTTTTTTTTTTTTTGTCTTTTTCATTTTTATCGGTACCGGGGATCGAACTCACGACCGCCTGCTTGCAAGGCAGGTGCTTATGCCACTGAGTTAAACCCCCAGCCCCATAAATTATAATCTTAGAACTTTCCTATTTGTGAAAATTTACACAAAGAATACAACACACTAGAAAATTCAACTATAAATGTTGTGAGTGCTTAACAAAACTGTTTCCAGGCTGCTTGGGAATATTTTCACAGTCTTAGTATTACATTGCCATTAATTTTTAATACTGGCTAATTGTTTTTACAATAAATTTATAATTATCCCATGAACTTAGTATTTGATAGATGGAAATGATCTAAGTTAATCTTTAAATAAGATATAGTACTTTAAATCCTAGGAAAAAGACCCAATAAAATACCTTATTTCTTCTCTCCCTTTACTTTTCAGTGCTGAAGATTGATTCCAGGGAGTGCTCAGCTACATTCCCAGCCCCTTTTTTTCCCTTTTTTTGGGTACCAGTGATCTAACTCATGCTGCTGAGTTAAACCCCTTCTGCCTTCCCCAACCCTTTTTGTTTTGTGACATGTATCATTCAATTGCCCAGGCTGACCTTAAATTCTGCTCCTCCTTCCTTAGCCTCCAAGTAACTGCGATTACAGGTGTGCATCACCGTGTCCTACTTTTAATTCCACTCTTAAACTAATACATCAGAAAAGCATTTTTGCATGAACTACTTACTTAGCCTAATTTTACAAAAAAAAGTATGCGCATACAGTATATATACATGCATATACACATGTATGCATATATACATTATATATATTTATTTTAAAGGGAAAACAGAATAAAGCAAAGCAAAACAAAACAATGATAAGACAATAGGAAATCCACAATAGCTACTATATTTGCATATTGTTAACTTCTAAATAGTTGCTCAGACTACCGGCTTTGGGCTTGCAAATTCAATCAAACAATACAATCAACAATGTTTTTTTACTTAAGTTGTTATCATCTCAGCCTGTGTCCCTCCAAATAAGATGGTTACTTAGAGGCGTGTGTGTGTGTGTGTGTGTGTGTGTGTGTGTGTGTGTGTGTGTGTTTGTGTGTGCAGGTTTTCTTCTCTTGCAGCAGCCCAAGCACCAGCTAACTCATGGGAACCTGGGATACGTGTGGGAGTGTGTGTGTGTGTCCTCCCTCCTGGTTCTCCCTGGCCAGCAGGGTTGCTGATGGCACATGGGCGGGGGCGCCTGCACTGCTTTACAGTATATTTTTTTCTCTTTTTTACCTCGGGGGTGGAGTCAGGATCTTGTTATGCAGTTGTAGGTCAACCTTGAACTTGCCAAGAGCCAATACTAGCCTGGAACATGAAATTCTCCTGCCCGTCTGCCTCAGCTTTTTGAATGCTGAGATTGCAGGTATATGCTACCATGTGCAGCTCTAGTAGTATTTTAAAGGAAAACCAATTAAGGGCTAATACTTCTTATTGCCTTAAACTTCTAGGTGGGGAAACTGAGCTTAAGGTTTTATGTCACACAGTAAATGGTGGACTTGAGATTTAAATCCCGTTTGATTTCCAGTTTTTAGGCTCTCAATTATACTGACCTCAAAAGGCAGTCTGTATTCATCAGAAAATTAAATCAGGAAAATCTAACAGAAAATTAAATCAGGAAAATCTATTTCATGACTAAGATTTTAACTCTGAGGACATGTTAACACTATGCGCAGGTAAAAAGTATTTACTAGAAAGGAAAAAGAAAGAAACTGTCAAGGAACTATACACAAAGTGAAAGCCAGGTATGGTGGTGCAGGCCTGCCATCCCAGTACTCAGAAGATAGAGATAGAAGGAGTTTGAGTCCATTTGGACTGCATAGTGAGACCCTATCTCAAAACAAAACAAAACACCAACCGACCGACCAACCAACCAAACAAAAAAACCTGAGAAAGAAAAAGTGAAATCTCTTTTGATAAACATTCTAGGCAAGTGCTCTATCACGGAGAATCACAATGGAACTTTGAGGACTGGATATAGCTCAGTGGTGGTGCACATAGTTAGCATACATGATGCTCTGGGTTCAGTTTCCAGCAGTGGATGTAGGGGATGGATCACAGTGAAGACTTAAAACATTCAGGAAACCCCTCTTGCCTTGTCACTCAGTCAGAACAACCAGATGTTCTGACTTGATAGGGAAGTTGTGACCCGACGTCCCCAAAAATAAGACCACCATGAACTATCGACCCTGCCAGACAGGATATGAGTTTTCAAAAACATCAAGCCACCTGCAGCAGATAGCTCACCCACCAGTAAGCAAAGGACACGACCCCTATTAACCAATGCCATCTGCTTCTGTAACCAATGCTTGCTTTGCGGTTTTCGGCTATATATACTCTGTACCCCCTTACCCGGGGCTCTCTCCCCTCTCTCTACCGGAGTGTGGTTGGAGAGTCCCTCGCATGCGTGGACAATAAAACCCCTTGATTTTTCATGAGAGCTGGTCCCTTGGGGTCTTCTTCGCGATGGTGATCCTACATTTGGAGGCCCCAGCAACATCTGCCCCCCCCCTCGCCGAGGGAGGCCCCAACGGCCACAAAGTGTCTCTTGGGGTAAGTACAGCCGTTCCTTTTAGTTTCATTTTTGTGATCGATCGTTTGTCTTAACTGCCCTGGATCGCTTCTGACCCGTACCTCGCGCTCCTAATATAGGACAGTTTCTTTGGGGGACGCCCCAAAAAGATTCTCTTGGGAGTCCATTTGTCCCTCGGACTCCAAGTTTGTTAGGAGAGGTTTCTTCCCCCCCTCATTGGCGGTGGATTCACCGATCTGGTGTGAGTGTGGCTGGCCAGAACGTGTGATGTGTTTTGTCTTATTGATGTTCTCTGTTGTCTCAGTCTTTGTCCTCTCTTTTGTCATGGGACAAAGTGTATCAACCCCTCTTTCCCTTACTCTAGACCTTTGGTCAAAAGTAAGGGAACTGTAATAACCTAAGGCCCCCTAACTATCGCTGTGAAGCCTGTTCTGTATAAGCCCACCTGCTGCTTTCCCCTCCTCTTCCCCCTTCAAATCTAACTAGGTCAAGTTTTAACTTCCTAAATGGCCATAAAACAAAGGCCTGAGGTGATAGCTCCTGACAACCCCCCCTCCTCTACCGGGTAGTCAGTCACAAATTGTGTTAATTGCATTAGATTGTAATAGCTTCGTTTGTATCATAACAATACCTGTGTGTTCCTTTCCCTCTGAGTAAAGGACTGATATGTTAATCAATGCTCTCCTATGTAAAGAATTGTAAAATCTTACCTAATTGATATGTTAACCATTGTTGCCCTCTACAAATAACAGTTGTGGTGCTAAAGTATGGTAACTAAGGTTGTTAATTGCTGTTAGACTTCTCTATTCTTTGCTAAGAAAAACAAGATTTCTTCTTATCTAAACTTGCTAGTATGCAGGGAGACTTGCAATTGCCGTTTCTGCTTTGTAGTGCGTCACAACCCCATCCCCCTCCTTACATTGTGTGACCAGCAGCTGTTTGTGGATTTACAAGATAAAAAGTCCTGACTTTTAGCTGTGAGGACGCAGTCTCCAAATTGGCTCCCGGAGACTCGTCACCAGGCCTGGATTTTACCTAATAAAGCCTTTGCTTCCCAAATTTTAATTTCTTGCTTCCTTGAATTTCATACCGGGGTCCGAGTTATCACATTTAGGGGCTCAGTCCGGGATGAGAGCAAGACCCCAGACTCATTTCTGAACATCTGAAAATAAGTACTCTGGAGGGTTTGTTTGGTCCACGGCCAATTTGTAATTTGGAGGGGACGCCCTCAATTTGGCAGTGGGAACCTCTCGAGGGCAGAGTCAATTTGTTTTTCAGACAAACTGTTCATCTGTAACTCTGCCCCGGGTGGGGAACCGCTCCGTTAGGGTCTAATTGTTCTCCTTTTGGTTACCCCAAATCTAACAGAACATTCTCTCCTAGAAACCCCTTCCACGAGCCCAAAAATGGACTAAGGGATTTAGATACTTATGTTCAGAGTTTTTGTACTTTAGAATTGTTTGCCTGTTTAAATTTGTTACTAACTTAGGGGCTTGTTGCAGGATCCATATGGCTTATTAGATTCAAGGTTCATAATAAGAAAAATTATTTCCTTTAGCTCACCAAACTGTGCAGAAAGCACCCTTTGTTTGTGTCTTTAATGTTGTGGCGCCTTGTTTAATATGTTAGTCCTCAATTGATTGCTTGCGACCTCAGCATGCCTTTTAAAAGGAGTATTTTTCTTTCTGGTTAAAATGTAAACATATGTGCACATATACATGTATATTTATGGTTTGTAAGAATCATATCAACTTTACCAAGTAAAAACCAAGGTCGTACTATATTTGAGCCAGTTAAAAGGTTACAGTTTTGTTTTTAAAAATACAGCATTTTTATGTGGTAAAAAGACATAAAATAATTAAGTATGTTTTAGACTACTAAAAGGTGACCTCAAGGGTTTTGTTAAGAGTTTTGATGTTGTCTGAGAAGCGAGAAAAAAAAAAAAGGTAATTGACTGGTAATAGTAAAAAGAGGGACAAAGAAAGTGGTTTTGTCTTCAAGTAAAAATGTCTGGCTGTGCCAGAATGTAAAAAAAGATAAAAGCTTAACTTGGGGGGGGGTAATATTATAAGTTGTAGAAGGCTCAAGAGGATGTAAATTTTATTTGTCTTGGTTTATAGTACTGCAGATAACAGGTTTGACAAGAAGTAAATGTGTTCAGAATTTGACGGTATTAGATCAGTTTTGGTAAAAGTATTCATAAGATTGTACTTTGCTGCAAAATGTTTCCATTAAAATGAGATTATAGATGATACTAGAGATAAGATACAAGTTCTTGCATGTGCTGTAAACATCTGGGAGATTATACAGCACAATTTTGTTATCTATGAAAAAGCCCTTTTTTGTTAAGAATATAATTTCAGTAAAATGATGGCCTGCCACGTGACACCCTTGGACAAAAAAAGCGGTGTGCCTTCCAAATAAAGCTGGCTCTCTGATCCGGAATGCCAAAATCATGTTCTCTTTTTGTCCCACCCCGATTGGACATCCAGAGATAAGGAGGTTTCCCCAGTATCACCAGTTGTTCTCTTTGCAACTCAGTCAGCCCCACATGTTAGACAAAAATTGCAAAGGTTTGAGAGGTTTGAGGAAATGCCCCTCAGCCAGTTAACAGAGATAGCACAAAAGTTCTTTGAGAACTGAGAAAATTTACAGAAAGCTACCAACAAAAAGATAACCAAGGTGTTAGAATTGCTCTATGACAGAAAATTTAAAAAAAAAAAAAGCAGACGAGAGTTTCTGGGGCGGTTGGATACTGTAGGTTAAATTTTACTGAAAAGCTTGCCTCTATATGACTCCCATAAGGGAGAAACTCAAAACTCACTTAACTGGACTGATGAATGTGAACAGGCCTTCCAGCAGCTCAAGTGGGCCTCGACAGAGGCCCCAGCCCTGGAACTCCCTGATGTTACCAAGCCATTCACCTTGTTCATAGATAAACTCAGGGGCATTGCCAAAGGAGTCCTAACTCAGGACATTGGCCCTTGGAAGAGGCCTATAGCTATCTCTCCAAAAGACTTGATCCAGTGACAGGAGTATGGCCCCCCTGCCTAAGAATACTAGCTGCTGTGACAATGTTACTTAAGGAGGCGAAGAAACTTGCTTTGGGAAAGTGATTTCTGTGGTAACCTCTCACAGTTTAGAGATTCTTATCAAAACCCCTCCTGAAAAAAGGCTCTCAAACGCCAGAATTCTACTGTCAAGCCCTGCTTCTAGACCCAGAGTCAATGATATTCAAGACTTCTTCAGCTTTAAACCCAGCCACCCTTATGCCTGATGATGACCTGGAGGAACAAAAGACACCTCTCCATGAGTGTGCTGACATCCTTGAACTGCAGCAGAACCTACGGGCTGATCTTACCAACCAGCTTTTGGGAAATGCCGACAACTATTTCATCGATGGAAGCAGCTTCATCCAGAATGACAAATGAGTGGCCGGGGCAGCAGTGACCACCAAAAAGGAGGTACTCTGGGTTAAGTGGTTAGAGCCTGGCACCTCTGCCCAAAAGGCGGAGCTTGTTGCTTTGACTGAGAGGCTAAAACTAGCCACAGGAAAGAGGGTAAACATTTTTTTACTGACAGTAGATATGCCTTTGCTACTGTACATATATGTGGAGCCATCTATCAAGAGTGAGGTCTCTTAACCTCAGTTGGGACTAAGATTAAAAATGCTCCACAGATTCTAGACTTGCTGGCAGTTGTCTGGCTGCCTCAACGGGTTGCTATTATTCATTACAAGGCTCACCAGACAGGAGATGACACTGTCACCTTAGGAAACAGTTTGGCAGATCAAGCAGGTCGAAAAATAGGAACCACATCAGAGGGGCCAACCAAGAAAGTAACTGCTCTGATGCTAGTCCCTCCAACCTTGTCAAAACCAGTCTACACAAAGAAAGACCTAAAGTTAACATCTCAACTTAGAGTAAAGTCCCCCACCCCAGGGAGCTGGTACCAGTTACCTGATAAACAAGTACTGTTACTGGAGGCACTAGGGTGGGAGCTGTTACACCTTGCATAATTGTTCAAAACTCAGTATTTTATTCCAAAACTCTGCAAACTGACCACCTCTTTGAGCTCCAGATGCCCACAGTGATTGTTAGTCAACTCAGCCAAGAGCTCTATGCTGGAGACCACCCGACATTAAAGAATTGTTCCAGGAGAACATTGGGAAGTAGACTTCATAGACATGGTAAAACTTAATTTACAGGGACACCACTATCTCTTGGTATTAATAAACACTTTTTTACTGGCTGGGTAGAGGCTTTCCCTACTAAATCTGAGTCAGCCTTAGTGGTAGTTAAAGGGCTATTGCATGAGATCATACCTTGATTTGGCCTCCCACTATCAATGGGGTCCGATAATGGCCTAGCTTTCATAGCCCAAATCACCCAAAAGTTAGCCCAGGCATTAAAAATTAATTAAAACTCCACTGTGCCTATCAGCCACAAGGCTCAGAAAAAGTAGAACATATAAACCAAAGTCTCAAGGACATTTTAGCTAAGCTGTCTTCAAAAACTGGCGATAATTGGGTGAGCCTTCTTCCCTTTGCACTAAGAGCTAGATGTACCCCATATGTTTCTGGAATTTCCCCCATTAAAGCCATGTTGGGAGGCCCCTGCCATTGGTTTCGGGATTACCAAAAAAATAAACTAGCTAAAATAACTAATCAAGATCTCATTAAGTCCTGGCAGACTCTCCAACCTGTGTTGACTTCAATCCACCAGCTGTTTAGACTAGGCGAAAACACCCGGATCTGCCTTCAGAGACACCTCTCAAGGTGCCGATCGAGCCAGGGACTCCAGTCTTGGTGCAATGTCACCACTGTGACTCCCTCGAACCCCGCTGGGAAGGACCTTTCACCGTGGTGCTCAGTACCCCCACTGCCATCAAGGTAGCAAAAAAAAAAACTACATAGATTCATTACACTCATGTAAAGCCACTAAAAACAGTGGACGAGGGACATACTCAGTAGACTACACAACAGACTAGTAACCCCTTAAAGTTAAAATTGACTAAGACATAGTTAGATTATGCTGGTCATAAACTGTTTTAGCTTACTTGCTTTAATTTTAATAACACATTTTAATTTTAATTTTAATTTTAATGCCGACCTTGCACGGCGGCTTTGGTCCCCCTGTAAGCAAAGAACAATTGTTAAGGTCTTTATGTGGGAGCTCCTGTGATTGTAGAGGGGGCTCTATTACTAAAGGTAAAGATACCAACTGGGGGGAATTATACATACAATAGAAAACAAAGATCGAGATCCTTCCCACACAAATGATAAATTGTATACATACGGTCTTCGGACAAATTGTGGGGACAAGTTAACATTCTTTGTTGCTATACCCTCAGTTACAGGGGGTTTGACTAAAAGGTAGATGTAAATGATAAAGCCCCATGTGATATCTAACAAAGGCAGCCAGTGAGGGCCATGCCCTCAAAACTGTTCTTAGTATTCAAAAATGCATTCCTCCTGCTATGACTCTGTACAAAAATATATAGACATAGATAACAAAACTTACTTCACTGCTGAGCTTATGAAGACAAGGGCTAAAAGAGTTAAAGGTGATTGGTCAACAAATCCGACAGTGATAGGAGGTTCAAAATATGCCCAAGCCTCGGGGGCTGGGGATTTAGCTCAGTGGCATAAGCGCCTGCCTTGCAAGCAGGCAGTTGTGAGTTTGATCCCTCGTACCGATAAAAACGAAAAAGACAAAAAAAAAAAAAAAATGCCCAAGCCTCATGTCTCAACATGGTTGGTAAATCTGTGCTGGAGCAGGGTGGCCCCTATACATGTGTCTGATAGGGGCGGGCCACAAGATAAGATCAAAAAGCTCTGGTGGTTAAAAAACGAGTCAAGCTGCCTAAATCACGGTGAGTTAATCTGGATGCTCAAACTTATGATATTCTAGAGGCCACTCATAAAGTCTTAAATGCTTCCAACCCAATTTTGGCTATAATCTCTAGGATTAGAGATCCTCACAAAAAAAGGAGGGAGGGGAATGAAGAGTTAAAACATTCAGAAAACCCTTCTTGCCTTGTCACTCAGTCAGAACAACCAGATGTTCTGACTTGATAGGGAAGTTGTGACCTGACGTCCCCAAAAATAAGACCACCATGAACTATCGACCCTGCCAGACAGGATATGAGTTTTCAAAAACATCAAGCCACCTGCAGCAGATAGCTCACCCACCAGTAAGCAAAGGACACGACCCCTATTAACCAATGCCATCTGCTTCTGTAACCAATGCTTGCTTTGCGGTTTTCGGCTATATATACTCTGTACCCCCTTACCCGGGGCTCTCTCCCCTCTCTCTACCGGAGTGTGGTTGGAGAGTCCCTCGCATGCGTGGACAATAAAACCCCTTGATTTTTCATGAGAGCTGGTCCCTTGGGGTCTTCTTTGCGATGGTGATCTTACAACAGAAGTTTCAAAATTAGAGAAGTCTGAGTCAAACTTGTTTTATGAGTGAAGTCCAATTAATATCACTATTAATTAATAATTAAAGAATTATTAATAGTTATTCATGGAAGTCTAACAAAGGGACTCTACATAGTTACACTAACTTACATTATTGCTTCACTATGCTTACACTTGGATTTTCATTTTTCTAAATATAGCCTCCAGATATCAAGCTAAAGATCTGCAAGTACTTAAACATGAGGTCACTTAAATATTATGTTTTGTATGTCTTTTTCAAAGTAGATACAGATTTAACAAAATATGTTGATAACTAGACCTATTTAAATTTGCAACTTTACCTTGGAAATGACTTAGCATTAGTACAAAAGTAAGTTTAAAAATAGATTTCTGCCTTGTGAATTCTCTTTCCTTTTCTCAGCTGGCCTTCTCCAGGAGCTGGCTCTGGCTTTCATTCTGATTTGCATACCCCTTTATGATCTAGTCTCCTTATTCCTGCCATAAAAACCTTTCCAAAATACAAGGCCAGTGATACTTTCTCTACTGTTAAGGCAATTCCACAGCTCTTTATCATTTATGCGACCAACTCAAGCCATCCAGTCCTCCACATTCTGTTTCTACTCCCTATCTTCTCTCGCTAGTTGCACACTGTCAAACTGAACTACTTACAGAATCCAGAGTTGCAGGACCAACATGCAGATATGTTCCTTCTGTCCTTCGCCTTTATCTGCCTTGGAAACCCCTTCATTTTTGAGTATTTATCTCATGCTTTCTGTATGACACTTAACCTGATACTTCCCATTATCCAGACTGATAAAACTGACTATACTAGTTGGGATCATAATTTATCCACTTTGTCACCACACCAGGAAGGCTTATGTGTATTTGTCTATACTTATTTGATTATATATTATCCTTTTCCATTTAGATTTAATATTTCTGGATGCAGGGCCTGAATAAGCAATTTATAGCTGTATTCCAATTACCTAATATGGTATCTTGTAGGTATCTGGGACTTATTTACTCCACAGTTCTGAAAAGAATGAATGTGTGAACACTGCATATACATGATAGAAGCCCAGAGTCACATACATTAAAATGGGAATCAAAGAACAAATTCTCAGCATGGTTTTGAAAGATGGGAAGATTCCAGTTTAAGGAAAAAAGAAAATCTAAATTTATCTAATTACATGCTTTCCTAAAACATTCTACAGCTACTTACGTTTATCTTCATATAAAGTCTTAGATTTCAGGTAGACCTCAGAAGGATCCAATTTTGGGGATCCTGATCTCATAATGCTGGGTGGAAAAGGCATAGGCTGAGGAATGGGCTCATTTATGGTCTCCAAACTTCCTGAATTTTCCTTTTTGTCTGTTTTCTGAAATAGAAAAGGGTCTTTAGTACTTCTAAACAATAAGATGGTTGATTAACTCATAACACTGTTGTCTCAACTAGATATGCCAACTGAGCATAGCTGTATAGGTGGCAGGGTCACAATCACAGCTGGTTAGTAGGCTGACAGGAGTTCACTTTTCTAGGTGCATATATCTGGCTAAATCACAGTATTAACTTACATAAGAACAAAGTTTACAGTGATGTCAACTGAAGGGCCTCCATTAGTCCTGTTTAAGTAATCCTGTTCTTTTCTCTACCACCACGATACAAACTGACTTTGAGACAAGATAAAGAGGAACATGATACAAGACAGCATTTCTAAAACAAGAAGACTCAGAAAATACCTCCATAAATTCTGATATTTATTTCCAACCTAATGACTTTAATTTCCAGTGAAGATGTATAAAATAATACATTCTTTTTAAGGAAATAGAATAGGGAGTGTTAACTCTAATTTAGTTTATAAAAATGTCACTAAAAACGCTGCTTGGTCATTCCAAATACAAGGAGGGAAAATATCCCATGCCAGGCAACCATTTTGAGAAAGGAAACAGATTTTGGATATTTTCCTACTCAGATAGAACTTTGCCAAAATAACACTCAAGCAAAATGACTTCTTTAATAATAAATTTAAAAATGAAATCTAATAATTCACCTAAAATATGATTTTGAGATCAGCGTATTATTTTGCATTTTCGTTAGGATAAGGAGATTAAATAATTAACATTGATTAGAACACAAGGACATCAACTCCTGAGAGCCAGGAGGGCAGTCCCTATAAAGTAGGGTTTAGCTCCTTAAGAGTGTTGAGTCACACTGAACCCCCTCATTGATCCAGACTCAGGCAAATGGCAGGAAAAGTAAGGGCAGCCCCTTCACCTTCCCTACATGTCCTAGGATTCTGTCAGGATACTTAGAGGTCACCACAGCCTTCCATCAAATAAAAGCATCAGGTCACTGTAGCTACAAAGGCATCTATTATCCACTAGATATGCTGGTATAGAGATAACAATGACTACCTGGAGAAGCAGAGAAAAGTAGAAAAATGCAGAGCAATTTGAACTAAATGGACGAAAGGAATTTCTGTTCACAGCTGACCTAATGGTACAAACAGTCTGTAAAAGGGCTGAAGTTGAGTGTTTCTTCCTTTTTGATCCAAACAACAACAAATTTGGATTTTTATTTGGTGGGCTGGAAAGAATTATTGCATTTAATGCTGGGTGGTCTTCTCTTTAATAGTATATGGTTTGTGTTTATGGAAAGCTATCTTTCAATTTTGAGATGAAAGACTTCAAGGGAAAGAGAACTAAATTAGGATTTTAAAATGTAATTGTCTTTATATCCATAGAATTATGGCTACTTAGCCAGAAATGTGCACCTATAGCTGCTTCTGTAAAAGCACTATTCGCTAAACTCATTTTAAAGTTCTTTTTCTTTACGAAAAACTTAAATAGGCTACTTAACTGTTCAGAAGAAGCCAAAGAGGGCACTGTCAAAGATCTGACAGTGTATCACTTTAATATAGGCAAATTTAGCTCAGAAAGTCACAATTATTTTAGAACATTCTGCTTTGTTCTGCATGTAAGGAGGTCATATAAATGTAGGCCTTTATAGTCTCCAGGAAGTTACATGCAGCTACCATGTCTTTACTGTGGGTACTAGCAAGGAGATGTAATAGTTCACTATCTTGAAAACATTTAGCTACTTAGTATTGTGCTCCTCTGAAACACGAAATAAAAGAATTCTAAGTAAATTCTTCAATGTGTAAAATTTTTCATTTAGAGGATATGATTATTGGTAGTTCGGAGGTTTCTAGTACTCTTCCAGTAGCAAGACTTAACTATGCAAGCACATCCCAAACAATGGGGCTTTTCTGCTGTCCCCTGAGTTTCTGATCCATATCTAGGACAGTTGCCTCCAATTTCTCCCAGCATCAGCATCACAAACAGCATAGCAGGGTGCTCTTCCAAGGGAAATGCAGCACCTCTTTGTGTATCGGGAAGAAGCATCTGAGGACCACTGTAATACTCACCATTTTGCCAGTTTTTGTTGGTGAAGGAGGACCTTAAAAAAATGAGCCAAATTTTAAAACACAGCATTTTCAGATCATAAATACTGCTAATGATAAAACTAGCTTCAACTTTTAACTCCTATGTGCTGCATTATACAGTACATATATTAAGTCACATTTTGTTTTTACAACAATCCCCAGGCATAAATGCTATTACCACTTAATAGATAGGTTAACTGACAGCTTTTCTACACCATGTAACGAAAGCAGGAAATTGACGTGGAACCATCAGATGACAAACCCTGGTCCCTTTTCTATACTGGTTGAAGCACTGGTAACTCTCCAGTATGTAAGACTTTTACCTGACTGAGCACAATTCTACTATCTCACTCAGAGAATAGCCAAAAACAGTTCAAAGGAATGAGAATAAAGAAAAACTTGCTGAAGAAGTTAGAGAGCTCATTTGCCTCAAAAATGAAAAGTAGGGCGGGCGGGGGGGGGGGGAGTATAGCTCAGTGGCACATTGCCTGCCTGGCAAGGGCAAGGTCCTGAGTTCCATTCCCGGTACAACAAAACAAAACAAAACAAAAATCCAAAAATAAAAGCCACTGTGATAAAAGAATGAACGACTAAATTTCATTCTTTAAAATACTAGTCATTCATCATTGTGTTTTGAGAAAGGCTATTACTATGGAACCTGAGTCCTTGAAAATGAATTTACAGTATGTGGGAGTGGTTCATGTCAGCTGATGTCTTTGAAAAATAAAAATTTCATTTCTCTCACATAAGCACTGTGGGACTTAATTAACACTTATGGGCAGACTCTAAAGCTTAGGATAAAATTTTTATGAGCATAAGCCATCATGAGTGCTTCTGTAGAACAGGCTAACACACCATCCAAAGCTTCATTTATCTACAGAGATGGTAGTTTTTTCAAAAGCTCTTTTGATGCATTACAGAGGTTTAGATGAAGCACCACTAGTCAATTTCTATTATTGTCATCAACAGAGAAAATGAAATTAAGAGGATATATTTCATTTGAAGTAGCATAATACCATGACTCTCCCTAATCATTAAAGCTGTAAATCAGATTTTAAAAAGAATACAGTGGAGAAAGAAATCCATAATGGACACAAATGAAACCACTAATAACTAAAATGTGGTGAAACAGATACTGCTTGTGGACGCAATCAGACAGAAAAGGAAAATGCACACAAACTGCCTGTAAAGTCTGCTGGGAAAAAGCATTCTGATCTATAATAAAGGGCAATTAGCAAACATAAATGTCGAATGTGAAGATACTTCCTGGTTGTGCTTTTACTCACCTCCTCTTAAGATAAGCAATGGTACATCAGCACCTACTGGAAACTGCTTCAGCACTTCTACCACTTGGAGATGTGTTAAACTCTGCACGTTTTGATGGTAAACTTCCTTAATTATATCCCCTTTTTGAAGGCCTGGGCACCACTGGCTGTCCAATATCATTTTCACCTTTTGTCCAGTAGGGCTGTCAGCAATTGCAAAGCCAAAACCTTTAGGCCCCTTAATCAAAGGGATAGTCACTAATTCTGGCTGGGAGCTTCCTGATGATGCCATGGATGCTCTCTGCTCATTTGGATCAGATGGACCATTGAGGTGATCACTCATCAAGGTGTGTCCTGATTTTCCATTCTGCTCCAGAAGCAGTGCTCCTGGCTTACAATCCTGAGTAGTCATGCAAGTCTCCCCCTTAGTTAGGGACTGTCCATTGATGACAGGAGTAGCAGCAACAATGTCCACAACAGGATCTTCACTGTCATCAGGAAGTGGATAGCCACGACATAAAGTGAGGTTTACATACTGGTTTACAGGTACTAACTGAAACATCTGCACAACATCCGCATGGGTGTGACCAAGGACACAGTTGCCATTGATGTCTACAATAACATCACCTGATAAAACATAATCATGTTAAAAATACTCAAACCACCAAATCAGTTGATTTTTTGTGAGACAGGCAGAAACAAACAGCACTAAATTTCAATTCTAGAAATCTCTTATTGTTCATTAACTACTGGAAAGATAAGAGTTCCAACACATTCTATCTTAGGATTTCTCTAGAAAGTATATACAAATGTCTAAAAGACAGGCACAGTTTTAACCTCAAGTTTAAGTTAATAATTTTTAAAAAATCTGCGTATTTTTAAAAATCAGATTCTGAGTCACACCTAAGTAGGCAAACAAAGCTCAGCACATTTTAGTAGACGTTTAGTATATAGAAGAGGAGCAAATAATTTCACTGGCTACTTGTACAAAAGGCTCTCTTTAAATGCTACCTTCTTTCTTAATTTTAAGAAGCCACTGATTATAATGTACTAAAAAATTTATTCTAGTTTAAAAAATATAGAATTGAAGATGAAAATGTTATCTCATGATGTATTTTCTTTTTTCATTCTTTTTTTTTTTTTTTTTTTTGTACCGAGGATCAAACTCATGACCTTGTGCTACCAGGCAAGTGCTTAAGCCACTCAGCTAAATCCCTGACCCTATCATCCTCTTTTTTATAGAGATTTTTTGGGGGGGTGTCTTTTTGAGACAAGGTTTCACTATGCTGCTCAGGTTGGCCTTGAACTCACATTGAAGCTTCAGGCTGGCCTCAAACTTGCAGTAGTCCTCCTGCCTCAGCCTCCTGAGTGCTGGGATTACAGGCATGCACCACAACTCCCAGTTTAGAGATTATGAATTTATTATAAATCAGATTTTAAAAAGAGGAAGCATCTGGGCCAGAGATTCAGCTCAGTGGCTTAAGCGCTTGTCTGGTAAGCGCTTGTCTGGCAAGCGCAAGGTCATGAGTTTGATCCCTGGTACAAAAAAAAAAATAGAAGCATCAACAAAAAATTCAACAGAATTTATTACTTAACACAAGACTTATTATTTAAGACACTGAAAAGACACCTAAATCAATCCTTACAAAATTTGATTTTGCTTTCCTGATTCTGACATATTATGAGCACTTAGGCTACAGAATTATTACCACAAAATTCATCATTTGGCTTTTTTAACACACCACTAAATTTGTCATCTGTTATCTTGTACATTTGTGGGCTTTACTTGAATATGTTTTTTTGTGTGTGTGGTTTTGTGAGACAGGGTCTCACTACGCAGTTCAGGCTGGCCTTAAGCTCACTTTGTCGCCCAGGCTGGTCTCAAACTTGCAATGATTCTCCTGCCTCAGCCTCCCAAGTGCTGGGATTAAAGGTGTGAGCCACCACACTGGCTCCTTGAATATGATTATTTAAAAGAATTATTGACAAATAAAGATGCTTTGTTTCTGATTGCATAGGCTTGCTTTTTAAAAAAGCCAACATGAATAATACTAAAAACAAAAGTTAGCCTATGGAAATTTGTTTCATAATCCAATAAGCTGTAGAAACTAGTCCATCTACAAGCAAAGGTTTTGACTTCTCCTCCCCTGCTAAAGCTTCCAAAGTTTTATTGAACTGCTATGCATATTAAATAGTTTTAGGCAAACTTGCCTAAATGAAACCCTGACAGCATATATATATATATACTAGCTGTGAGATTTGTTTCATGGAAAAAATGTAAAAAAGGTCAGAACTGAGAACTTAAAAAAAAAAAAAACCACCTTATTTATTTGTTTGTATTGAATCCAAGATGTTCACACTGACCAGCATCTCCAAGTCTTATTTTTATTTTGAGACAAGGTCTTGTTAAGTCACTCAGTTGCCCATGTTGGGCTCAAACTGGCAATCTTTCTGTTTCAGCCTCTCAGAATATTGGGATTACAGGTATGCACTACCATGTCTGGTTCTAATAACCTTAATCTTTAGGAATTGTTAACTGTTTAAGGTAATAGTAAAAATTTTTATTTATACTATAAATATAACGACTACTTGTACGTTCCTTGTTATAAGTTTTTATCAACTCATCGGAAAAGTGTAAGATGAGCGGTTCATATATTAATTGAAAGTAACAGTACCTATGTCACAAAGTACCATGACAACCCTCATACAGTGGTGCAGGCCTAGAATTCTTGTTTCTCTGAAGACTGAGGCAGGAGGCTCCAATGTCTTGAGGCTAGCCTGGACAACTTTAGAAAGACTTTGTTTTAAAGAATAAAACAAAGGGGCTGGAGATTTAGCTCAGTGGCATAAGCGCCTGCCTTGAAAGCAGGCAGTCGTGAGTTTTATCCCCGGTACCGTAAAACAAAACAAAATGAAAACAGGGGAAGGGGTTGGGCATGCTGCTCAGTGACAGATCATTTGCCTAGCATGCACAAGGCCTTGGGTTCAATCCCTAAAACAGGGTAAGGAAGGAAAAGGAAAGGAGGGGAAGGGAAGAGAAGGGAAGGGAGGGGAGGGAAAGTGGGGAGGGGAAGAAGGGAAGAAGAGGGAGAGGAGAGAAGAGAACAGAAGGGGAGAAGGAGGGAGGGAAAAGAAAAGAGCTGGGTGTCTTGTCATATACCTATAATTCGAGGATTTGACTGGCTGAGGCAGGAAGATCTGAAGACTGAGGCAACTCAGCAAGACCCTATCTCAAAAAACTCAAATCAAGCAAAAAAGTGCCATGACAACAGAACCATCCAAATGTGAATCTATATTATGTGGTATGTGAGAGAACAGAGAATTTGAGAAGCCTAGCAAACACTGACAGTAGCAATTCCCACAGAGTACTAAATTCCTTACTAAAGTGCTTAACCCTGTTCAGTACTCAGTAAGTTGTCTTGAACCTCCCCTGAGGTCCCTCAAACACTGTTGGCCATGTAAAAATATCCAACAATTACCAAGTCAAGATTTTGGGTAAACTATATAGAAGACAACTTAAGCTTATAAAGCTTTTAAAAATAGTAATGCTTATGCCTATACTTTTAACATAACCATTAAATTTTACTTACAATCAGTAAGAGTAAGGAAATGAAAAATCTTAGGAAAAAACTATAGGCTGTAACAACTGGCTATCACTATAAATACCCTAATGGGCTGTTTTTCAAAAGAGATTATAACCAAAGGTTAGATAGCCACAAAAATACCCTACCTAACCAAAGAATATCGGACAAATGGTCTTGCATTTTTAGTTTTGTACATCCAACGGATTATCTAAAATTTACACAAAGTATTCAAAACTGAATACATTTAATATGTTTTCTCTAATAGTAAAAATGGCCCTTTCTCAAGCTAGCATACACTTAATTTTAAGGATAAGCTGTTTTAATACAGAAGACCCTGAAGTTATATAATTTATTTTCTTTATAAATGCATACATAAAACATCCTTCCTACCATTTTTGTGATAGAACCACTACTCTTCAGTAATCCTGAACAACTTGTTACCTGGTGCAATTTTCCCATCTTGAGCTGCAGGGCCATCTTTCAGCACATTTTTCACCTGCAGGAACTCATCGGGCCTGTCTCCACCAATAATGGTGAAACCAAAGCCCATTGTGCTTTTCTTCAGTGAGGCGCGAACAAGAACACCTTTAAGTTGGGATGGATCTCGAGTAAAGTGTGATTTTTCCATATCTGAGCCAAAATAAGAAGTGGGTTTGAGAACAAAAACAGTTACATGGAATAAAATCCATAAAGCCAACCCGTGTCATCAAATAAAAGAAATCCTAAACAGGAAAAAAATCAGAGAATCTGATGATACAGAACAGTAAATAAACAGAATTTAAACTCATACACTAAATCACTGAAAATTACTTAGCTAATGAAGTGCTATGAGACTTTTTCATGTCATCTGAAAGGTAGAAGCATCTCCTTTCTTCCCTCATTGCTTTGCTCTACTTTCTCCCACTCCGCAGTCCGTTATAGCTGTCCCTCATCTTCATGGCTTCATTTCATCATCCCATCAACTGCAGTACCAAACACTTTTTTTCCATTTCAGGAATTTTAGTGAAAGGTGTATCTCTTAGTACCAAACATAATGGTAGTTGGTTAAGTTATCTTTGGCAACTCAAAATTAATATTGTTGTTTTGAAATACTGAAATACAACAGCCTTTTGGTAAATGTGAAGTTATATATAAAACATGTTTTATAAAAAGTTAAAGGCTTAAATGAATCTTGAATGTAAAATTACAGAAACACAGTTTTAAATACCATGCTGTTCTGAGTAGTGTGATGAAATCTTGCTCCATCCCACTCCATTCTACTTGGGACATGAATTACCCTTTCATCCAACCGTTGATGTTGTACAGACTACTGTTGTTTAGTCATTTGCTAGCTATCTGGGTTATGAGATCACCTCTTGTGCTACCATGGTGCTAACACTCAAATAACATTTATTTCACTTAATAAAGACACTAAGTACAAGGTAGTGACAAAGAGAAGCCATAGTTTCCTTTAAGTGAAAAAGTGAAAGTTTGTCATAGGTGTTGCTAGCATTTGGATCTTATATAAATGTCCCTCCCAAAGCCCATATGGGGAAGATTTGGTCTCTGGTCTCCGGCTGATGGTGCTATTGGGAGGTAATAGAATCTTTAAGACATGAGGCCTATTTGAGGCCTACTTGCATCCTTGGGAGTGTGCTCTTGAAGGGGATATGGGAGACTGACTACATCCTTTTTTGCTTCCTGGCCACTATGAGGAGCAGCTTTGGTTTGCCTCATGTTCCCAACCATGATGTTCTGGTACACCACAGGCCCAAAATGATGGGGTCATGTGACCATGCACTGAAATCTCTATAGCCTCTGAAACTATGAGCCAAAATAAGCCTTTACTCCTTTAAATTTATTTTTCTCAGGAACTCTGTCACAATAAGAAAGGTGAAGTTTTGATATTATTAGTGATTTCAGGCCTTCACTTAGGATTTTAAATATATCCCGAGCAGATAAAGGATGACTGCTGTATAGCTCTATTAATAATGAAAACTGTTATCAGTTATCATATATCAGCTACAAGTATAAGTACTTTATATTATTAATTTGCATAGTCATCATAACTACCTCAAGAGGTAGCTACTTATTATTATTTCTATTGGAAACTAAAATAGATGAGATGCAAACCTGCTCCTACACCTGCACACTGGGTAAATGTGCACAGTAGGTACTCTGCTAGAATGGCATGAGTTATCATGTATTATAACCAGCAGTTAGTTAGTCAGTTAGTTTCTTTCTTTTTTGTTCTTTTTGAGACACTATGCAGTCCAAGCTGGCCTACAGCTCACTTTGTAGCCCAGGCTGGTCTCAAACTCACAAGGATCCTCCTGTCTCAGCCTCCCGAGTGCTGAGATTACCACTGTGTACCACCATGTCAGGAATTATCAGCACTTTTTTATACAGACTGTGATCTCTTTAAGGGCAAAACTTGTCTTAATCTCAGTCATTTTGAATATCCCGTGACTAGCAAAGCACTGGGCATATAGTAAGTGCTCAAAAATATTTGTTAAAGTATAACTGTTTGCAGAATTCAAGGAGATCTATATTTTAGAAAAGTAATTATAAGAAAAAACTATTTTTCTCATGGGCAACAGAACTGGGAGGTCTGTTGGATTACTGCAATATGAGCAAACAGATTCTGGTTATTAAGATGGAAGAAGGGAGTAAAGTGTAAGAACTTCCTGGGTAGCTTTTTCAAAATATGTATAATTGAGATCATCAAAAATTCATGTATTTTAAAAATGTTTCCTAAATGATTCTGATATTACTAATACCTACTATCCTACTTGACACTCGTGATGTAGGCAAATAACATGGTGCATTTATTGATTGTTACTGGTTAATGTAGAATCCTGAATGCTATACACATTAGACTTAAGCAATTAACATGGAAGACGCCATAATGAGAGATTTAATATAGGGCCTGACCTTAAAACATAAAGAAACAACTCAATTTTCAAAACCAAATTCAAATTCATTAAAAAAAAAGCTTCCCGATTTTTCTCCCAATAATTTCATATTTTTATACTCTCATGAGAGAAATCTCAGTAATCTCACAATATTCAGATGTGGTATTAGGATTATTCATATCTTTGCAGTGGCAAAAATTAGATATTCTCTGTTGAATTTCAAAGTTGTAGCATTAAAAAGTTCAAACTTACTTTCATTAATTCAGCCTACAAGTTCCACAATTTATTCTTAGAAGAAAAGATCAATCAGAAAGTCCTACCTGATTTTGAAGACCCAATTTCAGCCTGTCCTAACTGCTTTTTCCTTTTAGCTTCCTCCACTGGATTTTCAAACTGGGTTTTCTGGTTAAGGTGGCTGTAAAATGCAGAAAATATGCACTTTAGATTCAGGTAAAAGAACTACATATTTTTACATAGACTGGTACCATTCTGTCACCACATGCTCAGGGCTCAATCTATGCAACACAAAGCAACTGACAAGAGATAGAAGGAGGCTCACACAAGATGTCTAGAAGTCAAAGCCATTGAAACTTATGATATTATTACACTTAATATAGCTTTTCATAAACCTACCGTATATGACAAGCAACAGTTTTCAGAACTATAGAAACTCTCTTTAATTGATGCAATCACAAGTGTTGGTAATTACTAGACAATTTTTGTCACTTCTTTATTTTATTTTTTTATCAGTACTGGGGCTCGAACTCATGACCGCCTGCTTGCAAGGCAGGTGCTTATGCTTCTGAGCTAAATCCCCAGCCCTATTACTTGATAATTTTTTTAACAGAAGTTAATGTTAGTAAGGTTTTATGTTTCTCTAAAATGAAGCAAACTATAGAGATACTTTTGAAGAAATCTGAGTATAGAACTCTTCTAGAATATTACTTTTCCATTGCCTTGCCCATATCAATTTAGCAGATGCTAGCAAAGTGACTTTCTTGGAACTAGAAATATACAGCTCAGTGGTATAGTGTTTCCCTATAAAGTTCTGGATTTCATCCGCTACACATACTCCCTCCACCCGCACTGACTTTCTTTGATGATATTGTGCTACAGAACTCTTCTTTTGCACTTAATTTTTTCATAAATATATAATAGTTAAATTACTAGATAACCACAGGATTTAACTGGCACTTATGATTAGGTACACTCACAACTGATTCTTGCAAACCATAGAATTGTGAGGAGGTAAGGCAGACAATTGTGGGGAGATAAGAGGGTTCAGGTGGTCAGCCAGGTGCACTAAAGGGCAACTGTATGTTGCCCTACAGCACTACAGCACTGCTATTCTGGCAGGTCAGTTAGGTGGTAGCTAGTTAAAAATACAACTGTTGTTTTCTTTTTAAGTATAAAACCATGACTAGGTCAAGTGCAGAAGCAATGGGAATCATATTCCATAGTACAAATATATTTCAGACAAATAATGTTTTCCAGTAAAATCTGTTTCAACCAGAAATGGCATTAGTCAACACTAAGAATTAAACAAAAAATCATGAAAATTTCAGGATACAACTGTGTTTAAATCAATTGAATATTACAAAGCCTCCATATAAAGTCAAGTATCAAGTATTTAATTTAATTCAAATCAAGTATTTAATTTATCATTTAGTGGTAATGGTGGCGAAAAGAGCAGCCAGGACAAAAACAACCCTTATAACTAGCTGTTATGACTAGGAACATTAGCTTTCTCTGTCACTTAGGCTTCTACTGTATATCAACTTCACAACAAATATGGCTAGCTTCAAGGTCCACTTGACATTCATTTAGGAGGGACACCTTCTCCACTGAGTTTTGACTGTTTGATCCTGTTTAAAAATAAAAATGTTAAGCACCACTTTAACAGGCACTGATATTTTATGTATTCTAAAGGAAAACAACAACAACTACAAACTGACACTGAGAAAAGAAGAAAGCTGTCTAGAAAGAACCCTGGCTCCCTTTAATGTCATCATCGAGCATGACTCACTCAGCCTCCCAGGCGTTAGAACATAACGAGTAGTGATTTGTATTTATATCCTTTGTAATGTGTGGGAGAAGGCAGTAGAAGTGTGGAAATGAATAATCTGTTTCCTGAAAATTCTTGACAAAAGAATATGATTTAGTGAAGGAGGTAATTGCATCTGTTACTGTAGACTAGATTAAAATGTCACTCTCCAAAGTAAAACAAATAAAAAAGTGAAAATATTCTCTGTTCTCATATTGTTAAGCTGTAAAAGATTGTTTACTACATATAACTAGCCCTGGAGTGAGAGATCCTCTGTAAGACAGTATCTCCATAAGTAACAGATGGTGATACTTACAGGTTATCACAAAAGCCAAACAAGGACATCAACAAAGCATACTTAAATATGTAATACATAGTTCAGAATGTCATCTGTATTACAGTTTTGTGTTTAATATCTAGTTTTTAAAAATTCATCTCAACAAAGTCATGAAGAATCTGAGGTATAAAACTAATATATATTTTTTTATGTAGAGAAAATAGCAAAACAGAAAAAAGGTAGAAATAATACAGAATTTAAAAAAAATAACAGTAAGAATCACTAGTCAAAAAAAAACAGTAAGAAATCACCAGTTGATAAATTACATATTGTTGTTAAAAGTAGTTGTTCAAGTTACAAAATCAAAGCATAAAAAAATGAACAAACAGTAACAGTAGAAACTATTCTGTTTGATGAACTAACAAAAACTTAGTACTATGGTTATCTGTCTTGCACACTTAAACAGACATACAGTTATATCCTTTAGAGCATTTTCTTTCCCTTTCATTAATACAATATCTATTATACATTTTGGATCTTACTATTCTTCCAGTTTATTATTATTATTTTTATACTAGAAAAGACAATACGATATTTACAAATGTGAGTCTGATTTATTTCACTTATGAGGCTAGTCTCAAGTTGCCTCTATTTACCTATAAAAGCCTCAAAATCACCTTTTTAATATCTGAGTAATATTCCATTGTATAAAAATACCACATCTTTTTTACCCATTCTGCAGTTGATGGGCATTTTGGTTGTTTCCGAGAATTAGTTATTACAAATTGCACTGCTATAAACATGGGTGCACATATATTTCTGTGACCTAACCTTTTCAATTTTTCTGGGAGAATACCCAGAAGGGGAATAGCTGGATTGAATGGAACTTCCAATCCTAGATTTCTGAGGGTTCTCTGTGACTTTTTTTTTTTTTGTCTTTTTCCTTTTTATTGGTACCGGGGATCGAACTCACGACTGCCTGCTTGCAGGGCAGGCGCTTATGCCGCTGAGCTAAACCTCCAGCCTTCTGAGGGTTCTCTATACTGATTTCCATAGTGGCTCCACCAGTCTACACACCCACCAACAGTGGAGAAGTGTTCCTTCCCCACAGCTTCGTCAACATTTTAGATGTACATTTTAATTTTGACACTTAAGCATATCAAGATCATCAATAAAATACCATCAAGATAACATTTTAAAATATACAAGTATTTTTATAAAAGGCCTACATTAAATTCTGGAATAGTTTTCTTTTCTTTTTTTTTTTTTTTTTTTTTGTCTTTTTCCTTTTTATCGGTACCGGGAATCGAACTCACAACTGCCTGCTTTACAAGGCAGGCACTTATGCTGCTGAGCTAAATCCCCAGCCCCTGGAATAGTTTTATTTTCAAAATTAACCAATCCATTTCAGAATCTCAGCCTCCAAAAGAAATATTCACAAAGAAAAACTGCAGTTGGTGTTACTACTACAAGGCTCTTGCCAAAAGCAATCATTGTGCCATCTGGTCTGACAAACTAAGAGAGCCAAAGAGTAGCCATTCAAGTAATAGCTTTTTATCTCCATCAGTAAACTCACTGCAGATTACTACAGTTGAAATTCAAAACCTAGCTAATCTGAGAATCAAGCTACACTCCATAGCTCAGCTGACTTCATACTAATGTGCATGTTGAATACAGTCTGCTCTTCCTTAGTCTAATAAATTATCTTCTGTAAATGAGCTCATTCTGGGAATGGTCATACAAAATCACAGTGCTGCTGTTGTTCTTGTTTCTAATTCAGGTTGTTTCACACACCCCCATGATAACTGGGAGCAAGATCTCTATAGGATTTGTCCAAAAGTTGCTTCAACATTACATCTTTGCTTAATGGGAATCAGATCATTCAGCTCAAGATTGTATAACAGGCAAATGACTTTCACCTCTTGACCACGTATTCAAATTTACTTGGAATGGGTAATAATGAGAATCATTATCTCAGAAATGTTCAGAGTGTCAATGGCAAATAATAGTTGATTGAAACCCAATTCAAAATGGCCTAAAATACAAGAAGAAAAAAATTCCAGAAAATCTTTTTAGTTGGTCTCCAACTGTTCCTTTGACTTGAAAAACAGTGCCTTAGGAAAAAAGCTAACAAAAGAGCTGCTATTTACAGTACTTGTTTACATCACATTTCATCAGTAACAGCAACATATTAAATATACAATGGAAATAAAATTACCAGAGCCTTTCAAATCAACCAAAACATGGAAACTACTAAGTTATATACCGAACGGTCAATATAACTGCTGCTTCTTTAGGATATACATTGGATTTTGAGAAGCTATTCCAAAAATTTCTCTAACCATACTGATTCACATTAAAGACCGTAATAGGAGTTAGAGATGCTTACTTTAGGAATAATTACCACAAAACAGCATTGATCTATGATACAGTACTGAAAAACTAGGAAGCAATTATAAAAATACAAGATTATTATGTTTGCTATTTTTCTAGACAATAACATTTTTGTCTTTGCTACCTAAGTCTTAAATAGCAATGTTTTTGATGCAATCATTTGTGAGATACTAGCCATCTGAGGTCAAAACCTTATCTACAGCATCTGGAAAGAAGGTGACTCCAAAGGTTGTTAACAATGTTAGCAACTGGATAAAGGAAAAAAAAATCAGATATGACACTGGCCTAATTTTTCTGGCTAACACGAAACAGGTGTTTGGGGCTCCTCTCTGACATACGTTTATACTTATATTTAACCATAAGAGCTGTGAAAGAAGCAACTTTCCCCTTTCCATTCTAGATTTTCCTTGATGAACCCCTTAAGAAGAATATACCTTTAACTTTTACTTTCTTTCTTTCTTCCTCTCTCTCTCTCTCTCCTTTTTTTCTTCTTTGTTTTTTTGCTATACAGTTCAGGCTGATCTTGAACTCATGATGTACCTCGGGCTGGCACTGAATTCGTGGCAATTCTCCTGCCTCAGTCTCGCATGTGCTGAGATTATAGATGTGCACCCACCATGCTTGGCTTCAAAGAACATACCTTTAATCTTGTATTTCAAAAATTTATGCTATTAAAGTTCTTTAGTTGTTTTTAGAACACTACAAACATTAATGGTATTCGAAGCAACTCCAAGAATTCACCTATACAACAGCTGGATGTGGTGGTGCAAGCCTATAATTCCAGCACTTGGGAGGCTGAGGCAATAAGATTACCACAAGTTCAAGGGTATCCCAGGGTACATAGTTGGGTTACACAGAGAGCTCAAGGCCAGCGTGAACTACATATATAGTGAGACCCTGTCTCAAAAGAAAAAAAATAAATAAGAGTTTACCTATCCAGGACCCCATGTCAGCTTTCCATTTACTGCCTTTCTCCTAGAAAGCCATAGTAGCAAGGGTATCATATCTAGCCATTAGTCCCCTAGTCACCTTTTCTTTTCCTTTGTTTGAGATGGGATCTTGCTATGTTAATCTGGGATCAAGAAATCCTTCCATAGGTGGGTGCTAAGTTGTTCTTTTTTATTTTTATTGTACTGAGAAATTCAAGGCCATGGTTAGGAAAGTTGAAAAGCCATAAAGTAGGTGTAGCCACTGCCCATACCTTCCCATTTCCCTGTTTGAAAACTTCTCATCTTGAATGATAGAAGCACAAAGTGCCATCTCCAGTATCTTCCAAAGCGGTACGCTGCAAGAAAAACCTTCAGGAGAATACAACTGAGGCAAGAAACTTACTCAACATAGTATGTGCCATACTGAGGGTCCTCTATTTTTTCCCAGCCATAAGGAAGCTCTGTAAATAAAGAAAATTTAGTGAACTTCTAGATTCAAAATCAATAAAAAAGAATCCATCAATGAGGGAAATTGTTTTATTATACAAATACTTGGGAGTCAGAAAGTCGAAGCTCATTTTCAAAGAACAAACACAGTTAAATCTGAGTAGCTTGTTCAACAGGCAAGGCTTATCTAAGTAGGTAATTAGAATTTTAGGACAGAAGCTGACATTAAACTAAAAAGTGTTTATCTGAATCATAAGATATAAAATACTACTAAAATCATTCTAAATATTTTAAAGAAGTTTGGTAATACTGAAATGAGACATTTAATCTGTAGTCCAATGCAAGAAGCAGCTGCTTGTTAAAATTTTTTCCCGTTATACATAATTATTTCTCTTATTACATTCTGACCTGCTTCTCAAAGGAGAGCCCAGCTTTGGCTTTTTACCATTTCAAGAAAGCAATCTGAATTTGTTTAAAACCCAAGGAAGTATCTATTTTTCTTTACCTTAGCTTGACCTCATCATCTGGAAGAAAACTAATTTAACAATCAGAGTGCCTTGTGTAATGTATATCTACATAATCCGTATTAATATTAAATATCTTACATAGCATTAGTATAAATTACTCCAACTGACTAATAAAATATAATGAGAAGACCTGAAGGTAGTTGAATTTAAGATAGCTGAGAGGCCGTGGATACAGCTCAGTAGCACAGCACCCACTTGGTAAGTACAAGGTCCTGAGTCTGATTCCTGGCATAGAAAGAAAGAGAAAGGAAAGAAAAAAGGAAGGAAGGGAAAAAGGAAAAGAAAAGGAAAAGAAAAGAAAAAGAAAAGAAAAGATGAATTCCTGGCCTTTCTAACATAAACTAACTATTAAGCAAGAATCCTTTTTTTCCTTCCTACTTAGACTGCTTTCCTTGAAAAGCTAAGGTTTATGAAGAACACCTTATTAGTCAGACATGGATTAAACTGTGTTCCAGTGGGTGGTTGTAGTGTTATCAATTATATATAAGGTGAACAAGAAGGAACTTTTAAAAAACCTACAGGTGTACACTATGGAGTTCTGTGCTTTTATTTTCAGTGTCTTCATAGTGCTTCAGCTATGCTGCAAAATTCACAAATGAAGACTTCTGGACAGCAAACAGGTTTACAATAGATGAAAAGACTTTACTAACTTTCTATCATTGAGCCTCAGTTGTGACATACTAACTTTTTAAATCAGAATGTCACTATAATGGAATTGTCAAGCTACCAAAACTGCTTTACTCTAATATAATTATCTTTGATTCAGAATAAAAAGAAACAGATGACTAGCCTTTTTAAAATTCTGAATTACCCTCAATCCCTTTCTCCAGCACTCTTGCTTTTGCATGTAGGTGTGTGTATTAGTTGGTGATTTTAGTGCTTGATAAGTTTTTGTGGGTTCTTTTTGAAGGATCTGGTTAAAATGTCTGAGGTGGAAAAAGACAAAAACAGTGGACCTAAGAAAACTGAAATATATGAAAACAAAAGAGTTATCTTCTTATTAGAAATTTTCTTGGGCCAGGGATTTAGCTCAGCAGCATAAGCACTTGTCTGGTAAGCACAAGGTCATGAGTTTGATCCCTGGCACTGAAATAGCATGGGAAGTGAATGGTGCTGAGTAAGGATGAATTTTATCTTTTCTTGAGGGAGGGTTGCAGAAGTGAAAGAACTACACAGACAACAGTACATTTAATATTTTAAATATTTGTAATATTTACTAAAAAGGATTTACTAATAATTAATAAAGATAAAAGATCAATATAAATACATTTAAGGTAAAGTTGATTTAGTACTATAATTAACACTTAAAGCAATTAGCAATTAACACATTAGGTATAACCTTTCTAATATGACAGCAAACAAATGTGGCAATTTATTATATGAGTTACTTTTACTAATTTTAAACCCTCACTGCTGATATTTTTAACAGTATTTTGTGGGGTACATTAATGCAGATAAATAAGTGGTTTATTATTTACCCTTTTAAAATGCAAGCAATAAAAACAAGACTAAAATTCCTAGCACTTTTATAAACTACTAATGTATCTGGTGAACCAATTCATTCACTCATTTCCTTCTTTTCTTTATTTTCTCCCTTCTCATTCTTCCTTCCTGCCTATGCAAAAATGAAATCCAAAACAAGTCTTTGCCTCAAAGAGTTCATAGTCTAGAAAGGAAGAAAGAAATGACACTAAATTTTCTGGGGTGAAGAAGAATACCAGCTATTTGGTAAGGCTGCCTATCAGGAAAACCTTTAAAAGAAGTTGGAACTCAGTCAGGAAAAGGAATGTTGTTCCAGATAGGTCAAAGGGCACTAAGGTGTTAGTGCCTGGCATTTTCACACTTATGAATAATTGGGTAGGTTGGAGTGAAAGGGAGATGAGTCTTATAATCAAATCCCAAATTACAACAATCCTAGAATGCCAGGTTAAGAAATTTGATTTTTATTTTGATGACTGTAGAACTGAGTAAACTGAACTGCAATGTGATTAAATTTATATATGAAAAAGACTATGAGTGTCAGCAATAGAGATGAAATAGCTGCGGAGTTACAACAGAAGATATGGAGACAAGTAAAACACTAACAGACTAGACAAGAAATTACAGAGATTGTAAGTAGGGCAGTGGTAGTAGGAATGATGAGATGAAATGCCAATAAGTAAGGCAAAAGTAAGATGGCTTAATAACAACTGTGGGAACTAAGGGAGGATAAAACAGAAGAAGGCTGAGACCATTTCTAGGTATTTGGTGCTTCTAGAGTAAAAATGATATACAATCAAATATTTATTGAATAATACAAAAATAGCTGTGGAAGCAAAACAAGAATTAATTAGGATGTGAAGACCAGGAAACAAATGATGCACCGAAAGTGCCTAATACATTGCCAAGCACCAGTGTGTACTCAAGAAATGTCAGATGAAGCTGGGGGTGGTGGCACACACCTATCATCCCAGCACTCAGGAGGCTGAGATAGGAGGATCTCTGTGAGTTCAAGGCCAGCCTAAGCTACAGAAAGGAGTTCAAAGCCAGTCTATACTACCTAGCAAGATCCTGTCTCAAAAAAGACGTGTCAAAGGAGATGGATGTTCAACACTAATAAATGCTTCATCTTAGGTCTTTGGTAACTTTAAAAAGCCCTGAAAATTGTAGGGACAAAGGTAAGAATATTGCTGTCACTGAAGAGTAAAACAGAAGGTTGAATCCTTAGGAAGAGATGACTTTTTTTTAAACTTAGTTGTGAAAAAAATTATGTGGGAATTATGGGGAAGATCAAGACCAAGAGAAATATGTTTACTATATTTATAAGCATGACCCACCATCTTTTCCTGTGTTAGAAGCTGAACATTGTCCTTTAAAACATTGATTCAAAAGGCAAAACTATTTTTGGCTTATCAAGCAGCTGGTTGGTTCTATGCCAATTTGTCCTTCTTTCTTTTTCTCTCCCCAAAATAGGATTTTTCTTACTTAAATGTATGAATTACAATTGCTTTCTAATCGTGGAGCTCTATTCAGTTGGTAATTTTCATCACTCTCTAAGCTCCAAAACGACATCAACATTCAATACAGTTGTAAGCTGCCTTTAATAAAAATTAAATCTTTCTTTGATGGGAAGGAAAAAGTGGATGGATTGAGAATAGAATGGATTCTTGATGCTGTATTTTTAAGATAACTACTTAAACCAAAACACCAATTATTTTGAAGAAGATAAATATGTTATATCAATTAAACCATCAGATACAGTATAAAGACATGGGTTGGTTCTGAACATCAGAAAACTGGGAAAGAAAGGACAAATTTTAGAACCTGAAAGGTCTCCCGAGAAGATCTTAATGTTTAACACAAGACAAATAATATTTTAAAATATAAAATTGTTATAAATAAATAAAAATAAAATGCTCATTTAGAATAGTATTGGCTTTTCAGCATCTACTCTGCAAAGCATGAGGGAGACTATTACCAAAGTCGTTTATAGTCTATCCTGAAAGTAGACTATTACAAGGCTGCTGTCTCCCAACTGAGGGGGAGGCAAATTGTACAGAGAATGGGGTAAAGCCTGGTTGAGCATAAAACAGAAAGGCTCAAGGTTCCACTGGATGGTTCCCCAACAGATCAAGTACAGGCAGCCTAAGAAAGTTGTACCCAGTTGTAGAGAGCCCTTAAGGAGTGAAGATCATTGCTGAGATAAGAAGCCAGGGACTGTCTAAAGCTGGCTATGAAAGGAAGCTAACAAGACCTTAGAAACCATGAGCAGAAAAATTCTCAGAGCCCTGCCATAGACTTCTCATGAGAATTAGAGCAGGTTTCTAATCATATGACCTGGGTCATATGATATTGTTACATACAGGTGTATTGTTATATGATATTATTACATACAGGTGATATTGTCACATACAGGTAACTGAGTTAGTTAGAAATACTATAGGCAGTTATCAGGAGTAGGTCCTCAAAGGAGCCAGTGCAGAAGCCCAGATACCTTGCAACTCTAGGGGAGACAAACACCTCCTATTGCAGACAGGCCTCATACAAATACACCCATGTCCTAAGGACTGATATTCTAAATAGCTCTCTATCAACCTGAGGAAGCAGGGGTCACCATCCCAGTCCCCTATATGAAGAGTCACTGCTGTTAAGCATGCCCACTTACTACTGACTTGCTTCCCTATTTACATCTGATTTAATCAATTTCACCTGAGCAATTAATCTTATTGGTTAATCATAATTCTGTCTCATCTTAGGTCCACATTGCAAGTTCCCAGGTTTTCCTCACCTTGAAAGGTTTTACTCTATAAAAGTCCCTAGACAAGACAGTCTTTGGCAACTGGCTCGGGACCCCTACTGTCTCTCTCAGACAGAAATCTTCTCTCTCAATGAATATTTACTGCTCTTAACTTGCATTATTCTTAAAATCCATTCTTCGATTTTAGAGAACATGAACTCATACCAGACATCTAGTAGGCTGGGAGTCTTGCTCCCCTGTATCAATATCA